TATGCAGTCATGATGAAATTAACTTACATTATTGTCTGAAAAGGGCACGATAAGAGACCTCATGCGTTTCAAGGCATTTCAAAAGGAATTTAATGCTTCTAAAGGTGATTGTAAAGGCTGAAATCAGCTTCATGTAAACAAATCAAAGGCTGTGGATTCATCACCCATCACTTACACTGGGGATCTCTAGGTGGGCAAAGACTACAGCAAGCAAAACTATTTTCAAATGACATCTGACTATTGTTAAAAGAAAACTGTCACATATAAGAAGCAGTGTCTCACCTCTGCAGGATGCTGCACTACGTACAGACATGTGGACACCTCCAGGGGTTGTGGTGGAAGAAAAGGACAGAGACACACCTTCTGAGGGCGACTACATGGGAGGAAAGTTGCAGACGTGAAGCTTTGATATCCCAGTAAGTTCCCAGCCTATAGCCCCCATCTCTCTGGAGCTTTCTGTAACGACATGAATCTGCTCCCTCATTAAAGCATGCCACAGTTAGGAGGAGAAGGCTCTCTGTCCACACACTACAGCTCTGCTAGCTAGCATTAGCCTCACTGTAATTCAGCTCACCGGCACCGTAAACAGGTCGGTCTTCTCTCGCCGACCTCCACCGGGAGGGCAGCCAGGTCCCCGAAAGCGTCCACTAACCCATCGTCCGTGGAGGAGCTGTCGCAGCTGTCTGGTCCGTTTTCTCCAGGGGGGTCCGCGGGGCTAACACCGGGGACATTGTCCATTGCGGAGTTAGCACAAAGCTAACTAGTCCAAGTACTCAAACGCAGCGCCGACGAGGGACTTCTGGTATAGAAATACGCCAACTAGACAGGCTGAACGGGATGCAGCTCATTCATTCAACAGAACAGTATTTGGCTTGTTTAGCTTCAGCTCCTGAGTTTGTTTTATTTTAGTCTATAGCTCCTAATAGTCTAAGCTAGACATAGTTTAACTAAAGCAGCGCTACATTCTCAGTTACAGCGAGCTAATAGCTGCTACGTTAGTACAACTCTGGGCAACAACACTTACAACTCACATGATTCAAAACTGCTTCATCTTTTAATAATGGCTTTTTTTTTTTTTTTAAGTTAACAAGAGTGTGATCTTTTCTGATCAATCAAAAACAAAGATTTTAGAATTACAAATTCAATTCAAATTCAGATAACTTTATTTATCCCAAAGGGCAATTCTTTTTTTAAATTTATTTTAGAAGGACTACATTGAAAACAAAGGCCCCAAAGTCAAATCTCAGTGCACAGTATTTTTTGTAATCTGTCAAACACAACTGAGAAAATGTAGGAATTCCAGTGACACTAACTGCTTAAACATGGTTGAAAAATTAGCTGTGAACACCAGAATTGGCTTTAAAGGTGTTAAAGGACTCAGGAAGACTGTTGATCAACTTAAAATCAGTAGAAACACAGTAGCAGCTGTAATCAGGAGGCACAGAGCGAGCTGCAGTGGTCGTGTCTCTTAAACTGACGCCATAGACAGTGTGCTACTTGCAAAAGCTTGCTCTGAAAGATAGACATTAATGTGCTTCATACTTGCCACTGGGGTTATCAGCAAAAATGTATTCGAGGTCACATAAGGTCACATCATTGGATGGTGTCCAATAAAAACACCCATTCTTGCTCTTTTGCACAAACTGCAAGATAAAAAGTTGCTAAACAACATAAAAAGAAACCTGATTAACATTGGGAGCACATGCTTTGGGCAGATGAGATAAAGTTTAATTTGTATGGTCCAGATAGAGTTCAGCATGTTTGGCATGAACCTGGCCTGGACTACCACAGTAAATACATACATGTGATGATGCGGGCCTGCATGAGTACAAAAGTTGTTGGAGTGATAACATTTATAGATGGCATCATGAATGACTGTGGGTATGCCAATATACTGGCTGACAAGATGACTTCCAGTCTGCAGAAACTTGGCAGAAGTGGAATATTCCAGCATGTTTATGATGTGAAACACACCTCCAAAATCACACAAGAGCTTCTAAAAAAGGAAAATCATAACGAGGATCTCATTATTTATGGGTTTGTTTGTTTAGATGCTATATATTTTTATCACAATTTGATTAAATGTATAAACTTATATTAGTCACAGTTCATATTCATTGATATAATTCTCTGTAATTCTTGTAGAAAAAATTAATTTTGCTTTGGCCAAACAAATTTTTCATTGAAAAATAAGAAATAACTCTTATATACAATATGTTTGTAAAGAGGTAAGAAAATTATATACATGTCAAGGAAAACAGTGATTCCATTATGAAAACAGTGACTAAATGATTTTCTGTCTGTAGATTCATCAGCCAACATGTGCTGCTGTAATAATGTGTGTATTAATAATCACGTTAAATGGTGTATCCACTCTATATACTGTACTTCTATGACTATGGGACTTATTTTGGTAAATTGTTGGTAATCCATCCACTCACAGCTGCCATCTGTCGATGTGGAGGACAGAAAGTTACTGTACTACAACACACCTGACTCACATTAATGCATCTCCAACAGCTTGTTGTCAAGTTCTACACAAGTCTGTTTATGATCCATTAATGTGAGTCAGGTCTGTTTCAGTACGGACACATCTGAAACCTGCTGGACAAAAGGTTAGAAATGTGAAGACTCATATTGGTCCACTAGGTGTCGCCAAAGCCCATTCAATGTGAATACAGAACAGCTCCAGTAAGGTGGACACAGGTGACAACAGCCTCCAAACATAAGTATTACTCTGCCAAAACAAGATACCAGTCTGTGGTACACATTCACTTCTGTTTGAATGTCATTCACACCATGTTTTCTCATGTGCAAATGCATGTGAGTGAGTGTGTTTTCAGTCTCCTCTTCAAGGTCAACAGGCACAGGATCACTGCTGAGCTCCAGATGGCACCTTTGGATTCAAGGCTCACAGCAACTGTATGTGCAAATTAAGCAGGACATAAACCATATGCTTTATGACAACACGTGCACCGTTCAGTCTGCTAAAAGCCCCCCACCATGCAGAAATGTGTTTTTTTCCTATAGCTACTTTATTTTGACCTTCACTGTGCAAAACAATTCATCTGTAGAGTTTAACACCAGAAGGCTGTTTTAATGCTCATCCACAGAAGGAAAATAAAAGGTTTCTCCAAACCAATTATGATTAAGCAAATAATTTCAAACAACTACAGTGTGAAAATTGGGCTTTTTTGATGAGAGAGGAGAAGGAATCATTTTTATTGATGTAATTAGAAGCATCAGACACAAATTAATATTTATAATATATTATTATTTTATATGCCAGGTATGCATGGTTAAAATGTTTTTATTTAACATAAACAAACACATTAAGGATTAAACAGAATTACAGGGTAAAAGTAGTCTTGAAAGAAGGACACATATTATCTTATTTTTGTTGACTGTTTACAAGTGGGTGCACAGCACACAGACTCTTAGCTGAGACAAGGTATCAGGTTCACAGTCGTATTTATAGCTGAAGATGCATCCCAGAGTCACACAAACACCACCACATGCACTCTCAACGTTTTTATTTGCACTCGTGACCCAAAGTTCTTCCTTCAAACACACTTGGATTCATGCACTATCGCCAGAGGCCTGGAAAAACATTCTGATTACTGTAATAGTGACTGCTTTAAATTAAAAAGTAGATTTTTAAAATTAATGCAGAGTACTGCTGAAATTATAAAAACTAGAGATATGCAAATGTGTATATGGAGCTTTAGAAATTTATCTCAGTTGAATGTAAAAAAAAATGCTTTAAAAAAACTATTATTCTGGCAACGTGGGGCTGAAAAATACTGTAAAATAAAAGAAAAAAACTATGCCATGAAAATTTACATTTTCCATAATTAAAACACATTTTCCAGCCTTTATTCTACGTGAACTATATAAATTAGTGGAGAAAATAAGAATTTGTACAATGTAGGGTAGTTGTACTGTTATTTTAAGACCAAATAATGTTGTACTACTAATCATACTGTAACTATACTAAAGAATTATACACTGTCTATTGTTTTTAGCTGGTTCAGTTGATACAGCAGTGGAAGTATCTCCTTGTTCCTCTGCAGTAATCTCCGTAGCATCAGTCTCTTTTACGTCAGTTTGTTTTGTATCTGTTTCAGCCTCACTTCTTCCCTCTCCTTTGGCTTTGACGTCTCCCTCTTCAGCTGGTTTTTCATTGCCATCTTGTACACTTTGAGTTTCTGAAGGCCCAGCTTTTACCGCAGCGTTCTCAGATGGAGTCACATCAGAGGACGCCGCCATTGTTTCCTCTCCATCTCCATCGCCCTCATCTGCAGTCTCTGCTGGTGACGCTGTCTCTTTCTCCTCCTCCCTTTGCTCCTTCCCTCCTGCTTCTTCCTCTTTTTCTTGTGTAATAACGTCAACTGGAGTCAGAGGTGCTAGTTCAAGACAAGCCTTAGGAGTGGACACTTTTTTCCTTGGTGGAGCGACTGGATGATTTGTGTCTGAACCTTCCTGATCTGTATGCACACTGACAGTTTTCTCGTCCAGGCCGGTAGGATGTTCATCTGTACCTCCCCACTCTGGTTCCTCTGAGGGGAACTCAAAGCTTGAGATGCTAAGTGGATCTACAGATTTTTCTGCAGCTTTTTCTACTTTTATAGACACACTTTTCTCTGTCTTGGCTTTCTTTTTTGTTGTTGTCTGTGTGTCATCTTCTTCTAGCGAACGAGGGAAAGGCTCTATATCGCACGGAGAGGAATTTGCACTTGACCTAAAGAAGTCTGTGACTTCCTCCTCTGTGTTTGGCACCTCACCTTTTTCAGACTTGGATATAAAATCTCCAAAATCATACAAGTCTTGGGTCAGTGTTCGAGGTCCTTCCTGTGGGCGCTTTTCTTTGTCTGTTGGTTCCGCCTCCACCACAGGAGTCTCATCGATAAGGACGTATTTCTCCAAATATCCCCTGGCCTCCCTGTCTGAATGTCTGCTGTGGAAGGACTTCTCAGAGGTCATACTTTCTGTGTCTTCTTCTTTTTTCCGGCTGCCGATTGCTTCCTCATACAGGTCAGTGTAAAGGAAGGCCATGGCTTTGGGCTCCTCCAGCAAAATGGGGTCAATAATTTTCGGTGGTCCATCAGGTAGGAAGATTGGAGTCAGGATGTCCTCTTGGCTTCCAAACAAATTTGAACCACTTGGTTTTGAAGGAAGCCTGGAGGGCGCACGTCCTGCAGCTCCACCTCCGCTCGCTGAGTCTAGACTTTTCATGTAGTCCTCTGTACCACCATAGAAGACTTCATCTAGAAGCTCACTGGTGATTTCCTCCAGACTGACTGTGTCTGACTTGTCAGTATTCACACTTTCAGTGACCGTGTTGTCTTTAGACTGAACAGGTTTCTTAGTGTCCTGGCTCTCAGCGGCAGCCTCGGCCTCTGGTTCCTCCTGCCCCTGTGCAATCACAGCAGGACTCCCTGGAGCCTGAGCATCAACCAGATTAAATGCCTCAAAGTAGTCCACATTTCCAGGAGCTGCTCTGCCTGGAGGTCTGGGCACTGGAGCCCCTGGTGGATCCCTGGGACCTGCAGCAGGTGTAAGCTTGGCCGGGCCACCTGGTGCCGCATCTGATCCCAATGAGATCATCAGTTCATTGTCATGGGTCTGCTCACTGGCTTTAGCAACAGGACTCTCCTCCAGGTACGACAGATTGTCCACCATTTCTTTGCTCACCTCCTCATCCACTGTGACCAGTTTAGGAGGAACAACAATGTTGAGGATTTCAGAGCCCTCAGACACCAACCTGAACAGCCGTTGCTCTTTATCTTCCAGAGGATCAGCCGGTTCCTCTTGGTCTCCTTCTCCTTCAGTTTTCACATTGGGTTGAGAGACTTCCACCAGCTCTGGCCGTCCTGAGATGTTTTCAGAGCTTTCGAACAGGATTGGCTTGCTTTTCTGACTTACCCTCTCTTTAGTTTTCTTCCGCCTTGACATCAGCTCCTCATCCATAACAAAGATTATCTTTCCTGCTGGATGAGACCCAGGTGTTGCAGGCCGTGCTGCAGCCGGAGAGCTGAGATCCACAGTATGGTTTCCAGCTTCAGATGCCCACGGTGTGGTGCAGCGACTCGGGGTTGTCTCCCACGCGATTCCGCTGTCTTCGCCTTGCATAGTCACCATGGAGAAAGAGGAGTCCATCATCAGGCACTGCATCTTAGGCCGGACGTTGTCATCATGGACAGCCTCACGTAAACTGAAGGCACAGTAACACAAACAAAGAAGCAGCTTTAAGCCAACTTCAAGAGTTCCATTGATTCTTTTGGTTTGGTGTTTTTTGTACCGGAGTTCAAAACAGATTACCGAAACGCCCTCAAACAGCACAAACTTGCTGGGAGGAGACTGTTGAGATCTGACAATAGGCATGGTATACTCCAAATTGCTATACAAAGCTGCCTGTTCTACTCTGTTTGTAGGTAAATTTAACTTTGTGAACCCTGAGCTGGTTTTGCCCATTTTTTGCTCCTGTTACTTTTTCACTCACTTTTGATTAAATTTTTACTGCAATAGAAACTTCTGCACTGCTATGAAAGTAGCACAACACTCGCTGGACATAGAGAGTGAAAAAATGTCCTCTATGCAGTGCAACATGCCATAAATAATTTCAAAAAGAAAAGTTGAGTCATTTAGTGTTTATTTTAATGAGGCTCCACACATTACATATATTTAATTATTTACATTTTCCACACAGTTCAGCATTAACTTTAGAAAGAAATGTCCTCACACTGAATGTATCTTCCAACAACGTGTTCCTCTGTATATCTTTTTTGTCATGCTGCATTGATTTCATTCATCATGTTTCTTTTATTTTCCGCTCAATCTAGTCTGTGTAAACACAGCCTGCAGGCTAAGCTTTGTAAAAACTACATTGTTGTCACGTGACATGTTAGTTGCAGCTGAGTCAGGTGTGGCTTCTCAGTTGTGCCGAGGCGGGCAGAATTTTCATGCAAATGCGTTATTCTGCAAAGTTTTAAAATGAGATGTGAAATAAAGAGATTTTAATAAAGCATCGAATTTTTAGGCTTATTTTTTAATGTTTTTTTTTCACACAGAAAAATGCGTCACATAAGTAGTTCAAATACTGATTCTTCCTTCTGTGTTTATAGTTTTTTGTTCTATTAAATTGTATAATTTTGACTGTTTTTAAAACATAACATGCCTTTGGGGTTCAGAGGGTTAATTCATACAGATATAACCAAAGAGGAGATTTCACACTGCAGAGCTGCTCAGCCACATTTACAGTATAAACACACACACACAAGGGTTGGCCACTAATGGAATTTCCTCCATTAATTCCCCATTTTATTTGGAAATAGATCCAATTTATTACTCTAAAATAAACTGCTGCCTCTGAGCTACTGGGGATTTGGTATAAATGAAAAAATGGATTTCGTTCAGCAGCTTCCTACTGTTATTAAGGCTATGAAGCTCCATTACACATTTGACTCTGCAGCAATACATCCAGAATACAAAATACCTGTTTCGAAGTGTCTCCACTTCATCACCAGCATCAAGGTTTTGCCCAGTAATATCTTCAGGGGTCAACACTGTCATCTCAGCATCAACATCTGACCGTACTAAATCCTCCATCACTGCGTCCATAGTTTGTAATATCTTGATAAATTTGCTTTAGCCTCTCTGCACAACTCGGCGCTGCTCTGTTGATCACATTCTAAGCAAGCAGGCTTGAGTTGAGTTTTCATGCTCAGCGTAATCTTGAAATAGAAAACTATCCTTCCAGTGTTTCATGTGAAGCATTTGCAACATGTAGGGGGATTATTTTGTCATCTGTTCACACAGGATGAACCCTTGCATTTGGTACATACAATTAACAGGTTAATCTGGATTGATCAGTTGTCGCCTTTGACTAATTTGAACAGTTAAAAATGCAGCAACATTGAGTAAATGTCTCTGCCTTGCTTTTCTTGCCAGGTCTATATATAATTTAGTGCTGGTGGCCTGTATCCGATGTCGAGTCTGTCTGTAAGTCTGTCATAGGCAAGAATGTTTAAAGTGTTCGGTTTGGTTTGTAGCTGTGCAACAAAATTTTCCATCAAGAAAACAAAACGATAAAAATCAAGCCTGATCACCTTTTTCTCTCTTAATAAGTATTTATGAGCTAACGAGCCACATGAAATGGCTAAAGGTCAGTATTTTGTGTTATGAAATCAGCTTTTCTGTACTTTTGAGCCACGCTGCTATGAAAATGTCAGCCTCACACCTGTTCATGTCTGTCATGCAGTGTTACAACGTGGGAAGTGAAAGACTGGAGGAGTTGGGGAGGGTTTAGTCGGCACGTTGTATCTGGGCAAAAGTTCTCTTGTGTAAACTGGTCTGACATACCTTCTGTGCATCATAAACTTTCCCAGTGGACATGACAAACATTGGCTAATATACAAACTTTGTGCTTATTGGGCAATACCACTGTGTGCAGCAGCCAGGAGGACTGAAACAGGTTGTCCTTAATGACTATTAACAACATAATCATGCAATAAATCCACTGTTTCAGCATTAAAGTAGCTTAATCAAGAACCAAACATTATATATATATTATTCTAATATATAGTATGTCCCTGTATGATATGAAGAATTCCCTAATTCAGGTCATCACAGATCCATGTTCTTCTTTTTTTGCAATCGATGTATATAATTTATCCATAATATAATTTTACACTTGTTAAAATCTGAAATATACATAGTGTATATATATATATACCCTTACTAAAGAACTAGTGTTAATGAAGAAAGTGTTTATACTTTTTTGTGTTGCTATTTTTACTGAAGCATCTGAACATCATTATCACTGGCTGTATCAGTAGCTGTCCAGAAGATGGCAATCCAGAAGCACATAATGCATTCAGATGTGCTGATATAAACTTATGTCTTTTTTTATTTAGTACATTTTGAATGAAAATGAATGATGCATAAGACGTGAGCAGTAAACCTACCACCTGTCCCTCTTAGTAGAGATGCTTACTAATGATGAGTGTTGGAATGTAACTTGTGTACTGAATATCAGTACAGTATGTACACGAGACGTGTGCTGAAGTAAACACATTTACAGGGTAATAAATCACAACAGACTGTAGCTGATAGTGAAGCTCCGTCATCCCTCAAAAAAGCCTACTGGCTTTGTTCTTTTTTGTTCAAAATAATAAATAACCCTCTACTTGAACTCATGGTAATAGTACAAAAAAGCTTGTATATGTACATTCTTAGAAAAAAAAAAACAACCCACAGAGCTCATTTTATACTGTCAGGATTTTACATATTCGTACTGCAAAACCACCTCTTTTTATTTTCTTCCACCAGGAAAAGGATTTTATTTCTGTTTAAAGATTGGTAAGGCCACTCCTCCTCCAACCCTGGTTAACTCATTGCAGTTATACACAATGCAATTATACAGATCCTGAAATAATAATAAATATTATGAAGTAAAGAAAGTTCTCTAGTTAAACTCTAATTTATAATAATTCATAATGTTTGAAGTAAAGAGGAATTTGTTTCTCAGTGTCTTAGTCAGTTATGATAGAGATGTTATAAGAGAGAGGCTTGAAATTTATGGAATCCTTAATACAAATCTATTAAAGAATTCACTAACACCAAAGATGGAGGTTGTACGACACACGTCACACCTAAACAGCTAAACACTAAACCATTCATGTTGTTGCACTGACACAAGAGGGGAGTGGCAAAACTCTGTGCATGTGCACAGAAGTAAAACCTGTGGAGAAAAAACACTATTTAAACCTCGCTTTGGGGGAAAGTCACTAAACTTTCTTTTTCAGATTTGCCTGGTTATTCTATACATGCAGTCTTGATGCCGTGTTGACCACTAAAATTGCTGTCATGGGGCTCTTATTTTAATACTAAAATTATAAATAAACTTTTCCCCGCAAACACACCACTGCAGGTTCTCCTGAGCTGTTTTCACTGGTGGTACCCCCAATATCTAAAATGTTAACAGCACCTGTATTAGTCTATGCACCTCAGGCATTTAGTAATTTTCAACAAGTCTCTGTACTACAACAGCATCATAAATGTCCTGAAGTTCAGTTATGGCTTTTTTTTTTTTTTTGCGTGCAGCCCCAAGATTTTTAGTGGCTCCATCTTTCCACTCCTATGAGAAATTGTATGTCCATGGGAAAGATATGTACAAGTATAAATCTTAACTGGTGGGAGAAAATTAAAAGAAGTGGTTTGGGAGTAAGATGATATGAAATCCTGACAGTACAACATCAGCCCCTGTAATAAAAAAGAAGAAGAAGAAGAAAAAGAATGTACATGTACAAACGTATTATTAACATTCAAGTTCAAGTGGAGAGTTATTCATTATTGGCAACAAAAAGAAATAACAAAGCAAGTAGGACTTCAAAGCTGCAGTCTGTTATGATTTATTACTGTAAATTTGTTCACTTCAGCACACTTTCTGTCCACAAATGATACTGATATTCCTAAAAATAGATATTTTTAAAAGCAAATGGTCATGGTTCCTTTTTTTCTTCATTTTTCTATGACTGGATTGACTGGATTTCAGATGTATGAAAGAACTGCTGAGAAGTGTAAAATTTTATAAAGTAACACCGCCTATATGTGGTAGTTTTTAAGTAAAAACAAATAAATAAGTCATTGTTTTTATTTATAATGTACTTTACTTTTGTTTCTTTTTTTTTTATCATAGTATCTTATAGTATTACTATGATATGATTAATGCAATTTTGTTGTTTTGCTTCACAGCGCATGTGAGGAAACACTTTATTGCCAATTACGTCAAAATATCAGCCGTAGACGTAGCGTGATGACGTCGCAGGTGTAACGGTCCCCGGAGCGGCGGCGGCGGCTGATGGAGCTGATCAGATGAATGAGCTGCGGGGCTCACAGAGGACAGACGGGCTGGAGATGAGAGAGGATGAACCGGCCGGAGGAGCAGCAGCAGCATCAGCACCGTATCCTCACACCGTCTGAGTCCCGGGTCGGACGAAATAACGAGACAAACGCGAGCAGGAGTCTCCTCATTAGCCTGTGAGTCCGCGGTGAGCACCAACGGAGCTGCTGTAGTCTTGGAGGAGGACGGGACGTGATGGTCAAACCCGGAGCGAGCACCGACTGTTGTTCTGTGTTGCCTCGAGAAGCGGCGGAGATGAAGCTCCGTATGGAAAGAAGATGTCTGTCACCGCCGGGCAGCGGGAAACGTGTCACTCGCGGCGGTGAAACTCTCTAATATCTGTCGGTTGATGGCACAGCGGGCGGTACGGAGGAGCCAGAGACGACCACTGGGATTTATGAGCAGTCGGATTGGAGAAACTGAGGAGTGAATGTTAAGTTTTTATGTGGCAGCGGAGTGTTCACTGCAAGCTAACCCCGAATGGATAAAGCTAGCGTTTTTAGAGACTATGCGCTGTTTTAAACAACCTTTTCTCTCTGCCGATATTTTCTCTGTGGATTTAAAAGCGCAACTTCACCAGCTTAATTTGGCTGTAAATCACACTCCCTCTGCTGTCAGTCTGCTCCCGAGTTTAGCTCCATAATCCCAGGGAGTTTGGTCTTATTTAGCTAACGGGTAGCAGCAGCTACTAGCGCCAGCGCTGCTGTGTGTTCTCGGTCATCATGCATGCACCGACACGTCTGCTCGGATGAAACCAACACCCAGCCAAAAAAAAAAAAAAAAAGATGATGCACCCAAGGGCATAACAACAACACACCGAGCCATGTCGGACTGAGAGCAGCCAGAGTGGCTCCGCCGGCACAAACGACCGACCAGAGCGGCTTTATTCAGAGGGATCAAGAGCCAAAGCTAACCTCCAGCAGCCTGTTCACACCGCCCTCCAGAGACCACCGAGAGGATCCTTTTCGACTCAGCTCGGCGACGAAATCCAGCTAAAATGGGGTATGTAGCTGGCAGAGCGGTGGAGGCTGTAATCGTCACTTTGTTTTTGCAGATTTGTGGAGCCCAGCTGCAGGTTAGAGCAGGGACACCTCCAGCTCAGTCCCAGCTGACAGCCCGGAGCAGACAGCGTAGCTTAGCCACCCACCGCTAACTACATGTCCCGCCGTCACATGTCAGCACATAGAAATAGTGGAGGAACTTTATTTATATAGCACTTAAAACAACAACAACAACAACAAACTGGGGTCACAAAGTGCTCTGACTGATAACGCAGAAGCAGGATACCCAAACGGTAATTAAGATAAAGTTAAAACTAAAAAACCTACAAATGCAAAAACGCAATGTGTCAATATTGAAAAATACAACTAAAAGAATTATTACAATTAAACCCTAATAGTCAAGTCTACAGTCGTTATTTATACACTGTAGAAATAAAAGAAGTGTAATTTTGCTTTTTTGGATTTTTAGTAAATACACAGAAATATCAGTGAAGTTACAAAATATGCTGTAAGTTTGAATGTCTAATGTAAAATAATATTAAAAACCTAAACTCCATAAAATCTTTTTTTTTTTTTTTTTTTTTAAAGAAAATTAGATTTTTTTTTTTACATATAAAGACTTAAAAGTTTTTTTTGGCCTTTTAAAGTGTAATGCACAATGTTTACATGTGTAAAAACTATGAAATCAGATATGTTGTAGGGTTACTACATGTATTCTGATTATGGAAAGTGTGCTGCATGTTTCAAACGATGTCTTTGCTTTTCAGTAGAGTAACAAAATTGGTGTTACAAATTTATTAAACACTTCAAAATCCCAGTTGAAAGGTACACATTTCCCTGACTAAATTATATAATAAAGTTAAGACCCCACAATACTATTAATTATGCAAATATACCTGACTAATTGAGATCCTAAAGTTCAGACCCTACAATATTATGTATGAATAATAATTGAGATTAAGACTTATGAGGATTATACATGGAAAACCCAACAAATCCAGAGATGCCCTTTGAGCAAGCACACTGACCACAGTGGAGAGGAGGAACTGTCTTTACCCAGGTGGAGGCCTCTGGTAGAACCAGGCTCAGGGAGGACAGCCATCTGCCTCAACTGGTTGGGTTGAGGGTCAAGGGCAGAGAGCAGAGACAGACAGACAACAAACAACAGGACATAAACACTGGACAGATTGGTGGGATCAGTAGCTGCAGGTCAGACCTTGCAGGAAGGTACAGGGACAGAGGGGAAGAGGCACAAACTGGAGCAGGAGCAACAGAAAAGCTTAATGAACAATAAAAGTAAGGCATAACATAAAAACAAGTATAAAAAGGGGCCTCAAAAAGTGATTTAAAAGAAGTGCCTGATTCTGTGAGCCTTACCTCCTCAGGCAGGTCTTCCCAAAGCTACAGGGCCGCTTTTAGATTTAAACCTTGACCTTGGAGAAGCTAGAAGGGCCCACCTGAGGATATAAGGCCACTAAAGATACATTATAGAGAAATGCAGCACTGCCTCAGATATACACCAGTACACCCTGCACGACTGGTAGCAGTAGCTGTCCATCATTATATCCATGAAAGCCTCCATACACTGACAGTTTTTTAAAACTAAATTCATGATTTTCAGCAGAGCCAAAACTACTGATTGTGACCAGATAGCTCTAGTGTGAATGGCACAACTATTGAAAGAGAGTACTTGCATCTTGTAATATGGATTGATGAGAAGCTGACATTTAAATATCGTGTGTCCAAACTAGTGGTGAAATTACGACAAAAAATTGGTTTCTCTTACAAGATTAAATCATGTTTTCCACTGTAAGGTAGAAAAAAGCCTATTGAGGCAACTTTTCTATCACTGTTGGATTATGGTGACATTTTTACACATGCATGCATCAGCTGTGACTCTTAAGCCCTTTGACACTGTTTATAAGGGATGAACGATTTGGGAAAAATATCTAATTGCTTTTTTTTTTTTTTTTTCAAACAGATATTGTGATTTGCAATATAATTTTTTAGGTCACTCATGACTTAGACACACTGCATAATGTATATCCTAAATTGCAGCCTTTGCAATTTGCTAAAAGCATTTTTTCTAAATTGTGATTTGAAATTAATTTGTTTAGCTCTGTTCTTTATTACTCTGCATTAATAATATTACTCATCATAATTACAATACGGATAACTGTGAAATGTGTGCTCATGTTGGGTGTCTAGCCCTCTCCTTACAGAATGGTAGACACTGGGTTTTATTTATTTATGAGGCTCTTCCTGTTAGTTTTTTTCCCTTTACATTACTTCATTGCTGTCTCTTAAAGTGGGTCCTTACCAAACAAATGATTGGATTACTCTGCAGGTGTCGGCTGTTTTTACTGAGCCTAGAAAATCTGGTTTTACTCACGGCACACCTGCAACGGGGACTCACATGCAGACCTACCTAATCTAAAGCCTGACTCATTTTTTCCTTGGGGTGGTTTAGATGTCATCTTATTGTACTTCCAGCTAGTTGATTGATTAGTTTTTAAATCCTAAATGCTCTAAGTATTGCGTTTAAAAATATGCTATTTGACCTTTAATGTATTTTTTGCCCTTGTTATCCAGTTTTTTTTTATCTGTGTGCCTGCAACGTTTATTTCCAAACCTGACTACATTGTAAATGAGGCCTCCATACCTCAGTGTATTCAGAGTTGAAATAAAGGTTGAATGAATGGTAGATTACAGAAGCCAAAAGATTAGACTGTAATGAAGTAGGCTACTGCTGATGAAGTGATGGCAGAGAGCAGGACAAAGCAGTGCATATTTGGTCATACTGCTCCATACGGAAAAAATAGTTGTAAAAAAAAAAAAAGAAGAAGAAGAGTGTTGCAATTAATTTTGTGCTGCCAAAGATAAGAGATAAGTCTTTTTAAGTCGCCATGACTTGGCTCGTGCGCTGCATGCAGCTGAACCTGCAGATGTATGGTGATTCTCCTGATCAAGAGCGACCTAGTTCTTACTCCAGATGAAAGCAGATGATGTAGCATGTGATTGGTTTGTTGTCATATTGTGGTTGGAGGAGGAGGAGGAGGAGGAGGCGGAGGAGGAGGGGGGGTGAACTGATAACCTCCTCGTGCAAAGCGCATCCTCAGTAATTCTCAAGGCCAATGGTTATAATCCAGTCAACAATCAATTCCTGCGGCGCAGAGAGAGAGAGAGCGTGTCCTATCCTTGTGTGCACTCAGCCCTTAATTAGCTTATTCTTGTACTTGTGTTCTAGTACCGTGTTTGTACTGGAAACAATGTGTTTGCAGTGACAGCAGCGACACACTGCTGTCACTGGGATTCATGTATGACATTGTAGGAAATATTAGCCAGCACATGCCATGCAATAGTGAGATAATTCTCCTATAAAGCTGGGCTTTTAGACCAAACCTCTAATTGATTGTTCGAGAAAATAATTAACAGCTTAATTGGCAATAAGAATATTCTGTAATTCTGGCCCTATACAACATATACACAATAATAATAATAATAATAGACAGTTGTGTGAAAAAGAACTAAACATTTTAAAGAATTGATGGTAATAAAAACGACATAAAACACCAGGGATAAAATCTAATAACAATGGGTGTATTTAAACTTACAGTAGAACGAGATATTATTATCAGTGTAACAGCCAAGAACTAATTTGGACCTAAAAATTAAGAGAGAATCTACAAGAAAGATATAAATAAGTCTTCAAAAGTGAGTTAAAAGAAGATAGTGATGTGTCTCAATGTCAAATGTAATTCAAAAGTTTCACTTCCAGAAGTATATTTAAGCATTTGTATTATGGGGGTTATTTTTGGTGTTATTTGACGGCAGCAGTAGACGAAGAGGAGAGAGAACCTGCAGCGATAAACACATCAGTGAAGAACTATTTAAATACACTAAACACATACAGACTATTACTGTAGGTGTTACGCTGTCATTTGTGTTTATATAAAAGCTCAATGAAAACACATCACGAATGCAAATCAAGTAATTATTTAAAATACAATCTGAACGCACGACCAAATCAGCATCCCGTGTTGTTTTATTATCTTTTCTGGCTACAACTGACTGATGTTATCTTATATTTAAGTGCGTGAAGTCCAAACCATCGTCACTATTCACATGGTGGCGCAGTGATTCATTCATCACACCATCTGAAAGGCCTCAAAAGTGTTATCACACAGTCTGACACCAACTTTTCCCTTTATTAAACCCATCTCATGCAGTGGGGTATGCACTGCACTTTCAATCTAGCTTCTTAGATGTGGGTCACGAATGTGTAATTTTGCACATATAATAACAATATATAGACCCCAATACTCACCAGTTTTTGTGGTCCAATAAATGAGTTCATGTCACAGTTCTGACACCTCAAAATAGCAAAAAACTGGAACTTTGTCTTGCCATACTTGCCACATGTTCAATTCTGCTGATGTTAAAGGCCTCAAAAGTTGATGAAATGACCAAAGACTGTATTTTTAGTAGGAAATATGGATTCTTACCTTTAAGTACCCCAACATCACCCTTGTTTAAAATTTGATTTCCTACAGATTTTGCTGGAGCCATTAAAAATATCAAATATAAGGTTTATGTAAATATTATTTGTTTAAAAGTTATTATTATTGGCTGAAATATCATTATTTTTAAGCTGGTCCATTAATATGAACAATTAATGGATGAGTAGAAGAAAATGTCAGTGAAATAACCTTTCAAATGAGGCGTGCGGTCCACATGTTACCAGCCAGTGTTGTGTTGTATTTGTGTGCTTTTCTTCAAAGCTTCATAATTTCTGTCATTTCTCTTTCACTTCCTTCATTGGTTTGTGATATTTTCCATGAAAATCAAGGAAGACGGATTACTGTTTGAACTTTTTACCTTTGTACAAAGTGATGGCAGCAGAGAAGGCGCTGTTCGTGCGCCACTGTTCTTGAGAACTTGTTGGAAAGTGTCAGGCCAGCTCGTCCTCCAACATGCGCACAAGCTGTCTCCTGTACGTGC